GAACTTGTGTTCTTTACTAAATGTGAAACAGTTGTCTTTGAGGACAAATTTCTATTTGAGAGCGAATCAGAAAAAAAAATCAGAATAACTCTGCCTGCAGAATAGTTCAAGGCCAGGACTTTGACCATTCTTTTCAAAGAGAATTGGTTTACCTCTTGACTAATCTAATTTTATCACATATTTAAAAACTTACTTCCAATAAAGAGACTGCTTTCAACTACACAGCTTGCTCATTTGTACACAGGAAACACGATGCAGTTTGCTCCAGGCTTATGTCTTAAGTTTCAGTCTCTATTTATATGCCGATAGTCTTAATTATCCCTTAAATTACTTTGCCATCCCTAGAGGGGTTTACTGCCCAAAGCAATATTTATTTTTTATTTATTGCTGTAAGAGCAGACATGAGGCTGCAGAACGTGAGTGAACACACATTCCTGATCACACATCTCCCAAAGAGGCTGAACAGCAATTATACTCTGTATTTTGCCCTATGAACCAGCACTGCCTTTTTCCTTTAATTTGTTCATCTCATTCATGCTTTTGAGATCAAGAATAGTTTGGTTTTTGGCTTTTAGCAACAAGACTCATTCAGGCCCTGTGATATTTTGTTTAGGATCATCTTTTCTCATTCCATTTTATCATCTACTTGTCTTATCATCATCTACCATAAACTTCAATTTTATGAAATTCCTATACTTGCACTTGGTCTTAAATGGCACTCCCTCAATCCATAGCATTAGTTCAGATTGTATAATGCTCTTTCTCCTTTCGAAAGAACTTCTGCTGTTTTCTGTTAATTGTCTTAAACATTTATGATTAAAAGAAAACATAGCCTGCTTGCTTGACCTTCTTTCCATTAAGTAACATTACAGAATTCTGAGGTTTTTCTCTATTTGTATAGAGAAAAATGTGGTGGATATGTAAACTTTATTTTGGGGGTGGAAGGGAGTCACGAAGTCCTCTCTCCTTTAAACAATCCCAGCTGTTTACCCCTGAATTTCCTATCTCAGAATTCATCAGGTAATATATAGTTATTCTCTGTGTCTTGATAGTCATTAACTGTCATGTTTTAGCCACTTTGTTGTATAAAGATACTTAGATTTTTATCTTCTAATCTGTTACCTGCCCCCTTGTTTTTTCTGCTTCCAGAGGATTCATTCCACTTTGGGTAACTAAATCTGAGCCATGAATCTTTTGGAAAGTGCAGTGAAATCCACATAAAATGAAGTTTCACTGTAAATTATTGATCAAATATGATCAAATTTAGAGCCTTAGGTACTAAAACACATGGCTATTTTGTGTGACAGAGGGAAATCCCCAGCTTTCACTTAGAAATCAATCTGTGCAGTTGCTCAGATCAAATATTTAAAGGAAGCGTGATCAAACTATTCAGCTAATGTATCACATATGCTGAGCTTTAAAAATAGTACATATGATTTCAGAATTAGCATTTTTCTATAATGCAGTATTCATACTAGTTTAATTATGAATGTCTGTTATATATAGTTCTCGTCTCTGAAGGGTTACGAGAAAGATCTTCTCTAAGTAAGAAAGTTTGAAAATACTTTGCAAATCTTTTGAGGTGTCAAGAATCAGGAAAGAATTAGGAAAAAAAACTTCAAAAAAGTCAAGAGATTTCTAGAACGTAAAATGTATTATTCTCAAATCTTCTCTGAAATGGGAGATGTGTAGATGCAACATAAAATTTAGTGCAGATTAGTTCAGTTTCAGGTAAACATATCACCTGGGACAGGAAAAGCACCAGCTTTCCTGCGGTGCTTGAATGGGCAGAAAGGTTTGTAATCTACTCTGGAAATATCTTTAACTCCAGAGAGGCTGGAGCACTTTCACGATTCATTGTTTAATGAAAGGTTTTTAACTAAGGCCTTTTTAGAGAAATGTATCATACTGAAAGTTTAAAATAAGATGTTTCTTTAGACTCTGCTTCATCCAGTGCTCAAGAGTTACAGGTCTTAAAATCAAGTATGTCATGTAGCTGCTTGCTGCATGAGAGAAAACTTCATACTGAATTTTTGCAACTAATTCTCCAGTTTCTCTAATTCGTTCAAAGAAAACCCAATGTTGCAAGAAGAAACAGTAGCTAATTTACTTGTCCTACACTTCCTTTGCTAATTGTTACCACCTCTGCCATGTCACAAAAATGATAGTTGGTGTGACAGTAAAGAGATTGTTTGTTGATGACTTCCAACAGTATCAGTTACTTGCCAGTCATTCCCTAATATGGCATGACATTAACAACCCTGCAAGAAAAAGAATGGATACTTGACTTTGCCTCTAGTTTCTCCATCCAGTAAAACTTACGTACTGCTTACCACAAATGAAGAATTGAATTGTTTTATATTTCATTCAAATTGGATTCATTTTATATGTATCTGTTTGGGGCAGTGGGTGCCTTAACTCTATGGCTTTTCTTCTGTCAAGGAGCATAAATATATAAGAAGATTGTTAAGATGATAGAATTCTGTTTCAATACTCTTCATAGATACATATGGAAGTAAATAACAATGAACAAGATAAAGTGTTCATTCTAATTATATAAACTGTATCTCTAAGTCCTTTTAATAAAAAATAAAATGAGGATGAAATGAAGGGAACTAGCCCGTGGAATCATATCCTACTGACAAAATAACTGTTCCATTGATTCCCATGGAAGAACATACATCTGGATTTTCAAAGCACTTTACATCTGATCCCCACTTGCAGACTTCAGCATCATGGTATTCAAAATTACAGGGGGACAAAAAGTGGGAAACTTCAGATAATCAGATAGTTCAGATGACACTAACCACTTGATTCTCTTCAAAAATATTTTGTGAGTATCTCTGGTATTGACCTTTCACTTCTTTTTTGTTCCAAGCAGAAGTCATAGAGGATATCTACAAATTAAAAAAAAAAATCAGTGTTAGTATTTTTTCTTCTTTTGTACTTCTCTTTATGAATTAATTGTTTTTGTTGATTATGTCTAACTTTAGCAAATTTGTTTACAGACAGTTTAATCAAAAGTACTTTTGCTAGTTTCCAAATCGAAAGCTTGTAGATTTGAAATTTAACAGCATTACAAATATTTGCTGATATGCTTGGTGCAATGGACAGCACTTGTCTGTAGGAACTCGTGACTGTCTGTGAGCATGTGCTGAAGAATTTAATGTTCTCTTACAGTTTTTGCAAGCAAGACAAGTTGCCAATTACTTTCCAGTCCTGTGTGATCACTAAGGAGTGCCAGGTATCCGAATGGACTGAGTGGACCTCATGCTCCAAAACTTGTTTTGACCTGACAACCCCAAAGGGGAACCGCACAAGGACACGGACCATAAAGCAGCTTCCCGTTGGCAGCGAAAGCGAGTGCCCGGAGTTAGAGGAAACGGAGCAGTGTATTTCGCAAGGAGATGGAGTGGCACCCTGCATTACGTAAGTTGCTTCGTTGCAGTTCTCCCCGTGCTAAAAAGAATACTTTAAATTAGGTGTACGGGGCTGTGGTTATTATGTCACCCAAATCGTACTAAAGTCACTTAGAAATAATAGGTTTGAGTTTTATATCTATTGCATATTCAGGGCTGTTCTTAAAAGGCTGAAATCTGCAAACAGTGGCTACTACCATGAAATCACTTCCTGCTCTAAATATGGGAAAAATAACAAATGCATCTATCTTTGTCAGTGTTAAATTTTTAAAAGAGATGTTTGTACAAACATGAACACACACAGGACCATAATAAATCAATGTTCTTAATTTGTCGGTGATCTTTATCCTGCATAACATTTCTTCTGGACTCATTGTTTTCTGAAATACTCTGATTGCAGGCAAAATGCTGAACATGGGAAAGAGCCGATAAGCATCGGTTTAGCAGCCAGACTTTTTTTAGTGAGTCTCCAATTAAGGAAGAGCTAGGCCCAAATGAAAAATGGGAGAGGCTAAAGCAGCAGTAAATAAATTAACCCCCTTTAAAGTTTAGGAGGAATGACAGGAAGCACTCTGTATACAAGAGATTGCCCTAATCCTTATCAACTAATTGAGATTAATATTAGAGTCCCAACCGTGCTTTTTCTTTATCAGACTGAAAAGAAGGTCTGTGAAAATGTCATTTGATGTTAAGTCATTTTGCATCTATATGCCTAAATGTAGTACATAATTTTCATTTAAGAGTTGAAATGTCATCTTTCCCCATCTCCAGCCACACTGGGAATCAAATTCACTTGATTTAGCCTTAAGTACTTGTTGGGTAGAGACTGTGACATTTCTTGCATTTTGTAATCCTGTTTGGGCTTTTAACTCAGAGTCACAGATCTGTTTTTGTGTGCATTCCCTGATTAGAAAGCTCACAGCTTCTCATCATTCATCAGTACCCAGCAGGGAGGCTTCAGCACTGCAGACGAGCTGCCTTCATCTTGACAGTGAAAAAAAGAATTTACTGAAATGTTTTCTAAAATAAAAATTAAAAAAATACAATTATTGCTTTGCCTTGATATTTGGGGAAACTTCTGTGCCTCTTGTCAAGGATGAAGTAGAGCTTTTGGGAGTTGGGTTACTTTATTCATTCCTCCTTCTCCTCTTCTAGCTCTTGAGTTTCTCAGTGTGCCATTTGTTTGATATTTTTGTTTTCTTTCATATTAACTGTCTAGCTCTAAAAGAGTGCCAAGAGTCAGTCTCGAAAGTTAGCTTATCTGAAGGGAGACCTATATTTCTTTTGGAAGATTTTCTTCCCTCCAATAAAATATTTATATACACAGTATGTTTCAAGAATTGAACTGGAAAGATGTCCCTAAAAAGTAATGATTTCAAAAGTGGAGCAACAGATGCAATGTTTCTACTTGCACAGAATATCAAACTAAATGCATCTTAATGTGCAAGAAATTGTGGGGCTCCATCCATTAGAAAAAAAGGATAAAAATGACAAGGTGTTTTGATATGCACAACTTTACAATGTGTAGCACGACTTGATGATTTCTAAAGGCTCAATTCGCACGTTTTGACGCAGGTATGGCTGGAGAACCACAGAGTGGACAGACTGCCGCGTTGATCCTTTGCTCAGCCAGCAGGACAAGAGGCGAGGAAATCAGACAGCGCTGTGCGGGGGCGGCCTTCAAACCCGGGAGGTGTACTGCGTGCACGCTAATGAAAACCTCCTCTCCTATTTAAATACACTCAAGGAAAAAGAAGGTAAATTCCATTCGCTTGCAATTCAATTAGTATGAAATCAGAACGCTTCAGCGTTCCTGAGCTCCTTGACATCCTTCGTGCTCTGTCACAAGTGCCTTGTTTCATTACAGGTCACTCTCATCTGTGTTTTAAAAAAAAAATCTGGTTGAAATGGAAATATTTACTTACAGGAGCAGAGATTTCACTCTTTATTCTGCAAATATTGGTTCCTATCTTTTTTTTTTTTTTCTTAGTACTCTCTGAAAAATATTGTCTTAAATGAAGGATGTCCCTCAGTAAAAAACACCATGGGAATGTGGATCAGAAATCCTAAATTCTCTTCCATAATCTACTGCAGTTATCCTGTATGTCCTTGAGCTAGGTGATGTAATTCTGAGGTTTGACATGCAGGCAAAATATGCAAATGCTGACATGCAAATTCAGTACAGAACCATATAAAAAATGTAATCCTTTTAATTCTCAGGGTTGATGTTTTTCTTTTGTAGATTTGGTCAAGTTTTATCTTAAGTCATTTTGAGAGTTGACTCTTTAACTGAACATGATTTCATGGGTTTGTTTCCCAAACTCAAAATTAGAAAACGTTATTCCTGAAGAACTTTCCTGTAATTACAGTGCTTGTATAGGCTGTACAACTTCTTAAGAAAAGAGAGACGAATAGATTATGTGAAAAACATCTTCAATTAGTTTGGAAATATAGTTACTAACAACAGAATTTGAGTGTTTTGTTACTTCCACTACTAGAGAATAATGCAGTACCATACATTTAGAAAGAAGAGTGAATTAAGCTAAATACATTTACTTCATTAAGTGTTGGATATTGTCTTCTATAGCTGAATTATACAATTATTCATGACTAAAAAAAAGAAAAATACAGCCACATACTCCAGGAAAAGGAACATCCTTAAATCAGTTGTGTAATAAGACGTTTAGAACAAAGCTGGCTCTAATGACTAATGAAGGGGTTAAAGGACTCAAAAGTTAGTGGAGAGGTAGAGTTTATGCAGAATAACGGCATTTTGGCGTGACTGCTTGGATCAGGGCACTAGGACTAGTGTGCTCGATGGGCCCCCCATCTGTATTTATTACAGAAGAAGTTTTCAAGCTGTTTCACTTAATGCAAATCAGCTTCAGCCCAAGGGCTCTTAGCAAGCTGCGGCTGTGGAACAAAGTTTAGATGCCCCTGCCTTAGAGTAGAGCAGTAAAATTTCTCAGCTAAGGAAGAAGTAACAATAAAATCAGGGGCAGCTTACTGTTCAGAATGATGATCAGGATTTTGGTAGCCTGTGAAGTCTTGCTGGCTTAGGCTGGTGTGAAATCTGTCCTTATCAGAATGTGACAGGAATATGCAGAGCCCATCAGGAGGTAATCTCTGTAGGCCCCAGAAAGCTGATTAAAATGGAACTAGTCTTTGGATGCATAAACATGAGAACAATTTCTTCAAGAGCTCAAACTAGAGGTGAAGTGGGTTTCAGTTTAAAAAGCTCTCGGGATGTTCCCATGTTAGGGGGAAGATTTTAAAATGTGCTGCTTCTTCACCCTTCTTGTCTCTCCCCTCCCTCATCAGATTCAGTGCAGTGGAAAAGGAACGTAGCGCGGCTGTGTCCTGGTAGAAGCAATTAAATACATGCCTTTAAAAACAATATGGTATATTGAAACAGGAGTGACTGAGCATGGGATATAAGGGGTGGAACATGCACTGCTTCCTACTGTTCCCACACTGGGAAACACCTCGTTGCAGTGTGGCTTGAGACAGTTACTGCTGTCTCAGGAAGGCTGCTTTGAAGACCTCCATTCTCATATACTCATGGTGGCGTTTCCCTGTTATTTCAGAAAGTCAGTCACAGAGCAAGCCGAAGTCTAGTGCTGCACCTCTGCTATCGATCACTTTTGAAATAACAGGTAGGTAAATTAAGGCCATTGACCTGGCCTTTCATTCAAAAGGGTGCAAAGGAGGCAATGTCCCTTTTGTGGGGACTGTGCTGACTGTATGTGCAATGATAGCTCTAAAACAGCTCACTGAGTTTGAGTGTTCTTATAAAATTAACAATTCTGGAAGAAACAAAAGATCAGTTTGAAAAGTGACAGCCCTGAACACAAGCTGATGGTGCACATTAACCCCCTATCACTGAAGAATAGCTCCCTTTGATCATTATTTAATCAATTTTAGCAAGTGACTAGTTTTGTCTCGCTGGAAATTATTCTGCTGAGTTATTCGCTAATTCTATATG